CGATTGAGGGCCCTGCTCAGTGAGTTTACATGTTAGAGGGAGTGGGGTATAGTGACACAGTAACAGAGGGATTGAGGGCCTGCTCAGTGAGTTTACATGTTAGAGGGAGTGGGGTATAGTGACACAGTAACAGAGGGATTGAGGCCCTGCTCAGTGAGTTTACATGCTAGAGGGAGTGCGGTATAGTTACACAGTAACAGAGGGATTGAGGTTAGAGGGAGTGGGGTATAGTGACACAGTAACAGAGGGATTGAGGGCCTGCTCAGTGAGTTTACATGTTAGAGGGAGTGGGGTATAGTGACACAGTAACAGAGGGATTGAGGGCCCCCTGCTCAGTGAGTTTACATGTTAGAGGTAGTGGGGTATAGTGACACAGTAACAGAGGGATTGAGGGCCTGCTCAGTGAGTTTACATGTTAGAGGGAGTGGGATATAGTGACAGTAACAGAGGGATTGAGGCCCTGCTCAGTGAGCTTACATGTTGAGGGAGTGGGGTATGGTGACACAGTAACAGAGGGATTAAGGACCCTGCTCAGTGAGTTTACATGTTAGAGGGAGTGGGGTATAGTGACACAGTAACAGAGGGATTGAGGGCCCTGCTCAGTGAGTTTACATGTTAGAGGAAGTGGGGTATAGTGACACACAGTAACAGAGGGATTGAGGGCCTGCTCAGTGAATTTACATGTTAGAGGGAGTGGGGTATAGTGACAGTAACAGAGAGATTGAGGGCCTGCTCAGTGAGTTTTCATGCTAGAGGGAGTGGGGTATAGTGACACAGTAACAGAGGGATTGAGGGCCTGCTCCGAGTGAGTTTACATGTTAGAGGGAGTGGGGTATAGTGACACAGTAACAGAGGGATTGGGGGCCCTGCTCGGTGGTTTACATGTTAGAGGGAGTGGGGTATAGTGACACAGTAACAAGGGATTGAGGGGCCAGCTCAGTGAGTTTACATGTTAGAGGGAGTGGGTGTAGTGACACAGTAACAGAGGGATTGAGGGGGCCTATGGTGAGTTTTACATGTTAGGGAGTGGGGTATAGTGACAGTAACAGAGGGATTGAGGGGCCTGCTCAGTGAGTTTATGTTAGAGTGGGGTATAGTGACACAGTAACAGAGGGATTAAGGTGCCTGCTCAATGAGTTTACATACCAGAGGAGTGGGGTATAGTGACACAGTAACAGAGGGATTGAGGGCCTGCTCAGTGAGTTTACATGTTAGAGGGAGTGGGGTATAGTGGCACAGTAACAGAGGGATTTAGGGCCTGCTCAGTGAGTTTACATGTTAGAGGAGTGGGGTATAGTGACAGTAACAGAGGGATTGAGGCCCTGCTCAGTGAGTTTACATGTTAGAGGGAGTGGGGTATAGTGACACAGTAACAGAGGGATTGAGGGTCCTGCTCAGTGGGTTTACATGTTAGAGGGAGTGGGGTATAGTGACACAGTAACAGAGGGATTGAGGGCCTGCTCAGTGAGTTTACATGTTAGAGAGTGGGAGTATAGTGACACAATAACAGAGGATTGAGGGGGCCCTGCTCAGTGAGGTTTGCCATTGGGGAGTGGGGTATATGGCAGAAATAACAGAGGGATTGAGGGCCTGCTCAGTGAGTTTTACATATTTAGATGGAGTGGGGTATAGTGACACAGTAACAGATGGATTGAGGGGCCCTGCTCAGTGAGTTTACATGTTACAGGGAGTGGGGTATAGTGACAGTAACAGAGGAGTTGAGGGCCCTGCTCAGTGATTTACATGTTAGAGGGAGTGGGGTATAGTGACAGTAACAGAGGTTGAGGGCCTGCTCAGTGAGTTTACATGTTAGAGGGTGCGGTGTATAGTGACAGTAACAGAGGGATTGAGGGCCTGCTCAGTGAGTTTACATGTTAGAGGGAGTGGGGTATAGTGACACAGTAACAGAGGGATTGTGGGCCCTGCTCAGTGAGTTTACATGTTAGAGGGAGTGGGGTATAGTGACAGTAACAGAGGGATTGAGGGCCCTACTCAGTGAGCTTACATGCTAGAGGGAGTGGGGTATAGTGACACAGTAACAGAGATTTGGGGAGCCTGCTCAGTGAGTTTACATGTTAGAGGGAGTGGGGTATAGTGACACAGTAACAGAGGGATTGAGGGCCTGCTCAGTGAGTTTACATGTTAGAGGGAGTGGGGTATAGTGGCACAGTAACAGAGGGATTTAGGGCCTGCTCAGTGAGTTTACATGTTAGAGGAGTGGGGTATAGTGACAGTAACAGAGGGATTGAGGCCCTGCTCAGTGAGTTTACATGTTAGATTTGAGGGCTCCACCCAGTGAGTTTACATGTTAGGAGGGAGTGGGGCAGTGACACAGTAACAGAGGGATTGAGGGCCTGTCAGTGAGCTTACATGTTAGAGGGGAGGGGGTATAAGGACAGTAACAGAGGGACGGCGGGGCCTGCTCAGTGAGCTTCACAAGGGGGTTAGAGGGAGTGGGGTATAGTGACACAGTAACAGAGGGATTGAGGGCCTGCTCAGTGAGTTTACATGTTAGAGGGAGTGGGGTATAGTGACACAGTAACAGAGGGATTGAGGGCCCTGCTCAGTGAGTTTACATGTTAGAGGGAGTGGGGTATAGTGACACAGTAACAGAGGGATTGAGGGCCTGCTCAGTGAGTTTACATGTTAGATGGAGTGGGGTATAGTGACACAGTAACAGATGGATTGAGGGCCCTGCTCAGTGAGTTTACATGTTACAGGGAGTGGGGTATAGTGACAGTAACAGAGGGATTGAGGGCCTGCTCAGTGAGTTTACATGTTAGAGGGAGTGGGGTATAGTGACACAGTAACAGAGGGACTGAGGGCCTGCTCAGTGAGTTTACATGTTAGAGGGAGTGGGGTATAGTGACACAGTAACAGAGGGATTGAGGGCCTGCTCAGTGAGTTTACAGGTTAGAGGGAGTGGGGTATAGTGACACAGTAACAGAGGGATTGAGGGCCTGCTCAGTGAGTTTACATGTTAGAGGGAGTGGGGTATAGTGACACAGTAACAGAGGGATTGAGGGCCTGCTCAGTGAGTTTACATGTTAGAGGGAGTGGGGTATAGTGACACAGTAACAGAGGGATTGAGGGCCCTGCTCAGTGAGTTTACATGTTAGAGGGAGTGGGGTATAGTGACACAGTAACAGAGGGATTGAGGGCCTGCTCAGTGAGTTTACATGTTAGAGGGAGTGGGGTATAGTGACACAGTAACAGAGGGATTGAGGGCCTGCTCAGTGAGTTTACATGTTAGAGGGAGTGGAGTATAGTGACACAGTAACAGAGGGATTGAGGGCCTGCTCAGTGAGTTTATATGTTAGAGGGAGTGGGGTATAGTGACACAGTAACAGAGGGATTGAGGGCCTGCTCAGTGAGTTTACATGTTAGAGGTAGTGGGGTATAGTAACAGTAATAGGGATTGAGGGCCTTACACAATGAGCTTACCTGCTAGAGCAAGCATGTCAAGGGACATCTTTGCGGCCTGGCGAGACGCGATTACATGCTCAGTGTAAGAGCAGAGTAGGCACCTGCTTTCCCCATCTGCTAAAACGTACCCGGCCTCCCGCACGTTGTAATTTGACGTCATATTCCAGCACCCGGCCTCACTAAACAGCGCGAGGGAGCAGACAGAAGTACCCCAGGGAGATGCCCCACATCAGCTCCAAAAGGTAGGGAGCAATAAAGTAAAGTATGTGTGTGTGTGTGTGTATCTGTCAGTAAGTGTGTGTCGGTCAGTGTGTCTCTGTCGGTCTGTGAGTGTGTGTCTGTCAGCGAGCGCGAGTGTGTTTGTGTGCCTGTGTGTCTGTCAGTGAGTGTATGTGTGTGGGTGAGTGTTGCATTGGCTGCGACTGGACAGTGGAGTACCTGGAGGTGCATGGAGTCACACTTACGCCACGTCACATTCCAACTTGACATTTACGTGATCCACCTTCACAGGGTTTCAAGAAGTAGCGGGAGGATCAGATTTGGCACAGGGTGTGGACAGCGCCATTTGGGGTATACCAGAGGCCAGAATCGTATCCTGGCAGCGGCAATGTGAGTGGAGTCTGCTCGTTGGCTAGAGGGGGTGCTGATTTTTTTGTTTTTATTTTTATGATGGGGGCAGGCACTATAGTTTCCCTTTAATGTCAACATATACCAGAATAAATTTAAACTAAAAAATAGAGGTTGTAAAATTAGTTTCCTTCTGAAGGGATAGTTCAGGAACGGTTTGATTTAGAAACTGCTAGTCCATTAAAAATCGTTATTAAATGGGGGCACCAGTGCACTCTGTTACACAATAATCACTACAACTTTATGTAGTGGCTATGGTGCTTGAAGTGTTCCTTTAAATAAATAGTAGATCAGTTGTGGGGAGATACATGGACTTTTCTTGTATAACTTGCATTTTTGATTATTTTCAAACACGGTATTTAACAAGAAAATAATTATTTAGCCCTTGATGCTGGTTGGAAACATACTGGGGGTTATTCTATAAAACGTCAATACAAATTAGTGGCATCAAAAAAAATCTTAGATCCATGGAACTGCCTCAGGGAAAGTCAGCATACATACTATACGCTGGGGCACAGCAGGGTCCTGTCTCTACCTTGCTATTAACAGATACTGGGCCTGCTCCCCTTATTACCCATACTGCATTGCTAATTGTTAAAGGGACACTACAACTTCCTGATGTGATTAGCACATTCCCCATAAATTAAAATGCCACTTAAGAGAAATCAGCACTTTGCAAATGGGTTTAGTGAGAAACTAAGCAGAGATTTACATGTAAATGCAGTTAGCTTCCTTGTGACATCAATCCTACACAGAATGAATAGGGCACCCAATTGTGTGTGAGCATTCTATCATACATCCCAAGAATCCTTGATCGGAGGGGACAGTCCTGAATTGTAACATGTGCACTGCAGCCCCAGGCTGTTTTATAACATGCTGGGAAATAAAATTTCAAAAGAGCTCTGCGCATGTGTAGCCCCACCTGGCATTAACTCAATGAAGACTAGCCAGGTTAACGCACAGCGAAAATCAATTATATGAGACAGCTACTGAGTCTACTAACTGGCTTTACAAAAACTCACATTGATGGCTAACTCCATACCGGAATCCAAGAAATGCCATTAATGAAATCATTTATTTACGTTAATCCATTTGTATAATCCACATTTTATATTTACTGAAATCATATATTGTTATTATCCACTTGGTGGCCAGCAAACAAACGGTTCATTCTGTTACATGGTGTAGATTTGGGAGAAGCAGGTCAACTTATTTTGTGCATTTTGCCTTCTTTCATATTCATCAGATTTTATTCTATATCCACTAAATAGTGAATTACATTTCAAAATGGAATTATATAGAAAACTCATTAAATCCCCAATCTCCCCCCTTCCCCGAACCGGCTACCTTTGTCTATGGTTTAATTCCTCACAGTCTCTCCTTGATTAATAAACGTCATGAAATCAGACACGGAGGGCAGCGGTTTGATAAATCTGCACATTTCAGATATACAATAATTCTTTAAATGTAATAGATACATTACTTTTCTTTTCAATAACTACAGCTTTTCAAAAAAACAAAACAAAAAACAACAACAAAAAGAAGCCAAAACAGACAATGCCTTCACAAAAGACGAGGAGGTGATAGTGTTTTTTCTAAAGAAGGGTTGGTCCAGTTGAAGCTGTGAAGAACGATATTTGCGCGTTGATTCCATATTTTCTCAGCTGATGGCCGATACGGTAGTTAGGGTGAGATGGGCGTTATTAACATGGAGTGGACGTTCAAACTCGCTACACACAGCAGATCCCAGCAAGGAAGTGTTGGATGACACAATGACTTGTGTCCTTTATCGTCTGACCGAGGACCGCGCTGCCCCCAGCGAACCTTCTGACGCTCGGCTCTGGATTCCCGCGACATTAACTTCGTCCAGAAAACTAGAAGATCAAATAGAGAGAGAAATGCATTTATAAAGTGTCCGGCAGAGCCTCTCCGCAGCTCAGACACAGCAAGTGCTACATCTCCTTTTACTACATTTGGTCAAATACCTTCTCAATCGCTACAAACAAATAACCTTGCACTTAATCCCCACAACTGCTGCTACGGCTAATATCTAGTGGAAGCAGTCCGTTTTTGCACAATTAACAAAAGGGCTACGCAGAAGCAGCAGAGATGAACATATACATAAAAAAAACAAAACAGAAAAACGCAAAAGAAGAAAAGTGTATTTGTGGAAAAGATACCAAGTTAAAGGTTTACTCCAAGACCATGCGCAGTTCAGTGGTTTGAAGTGATTATGGTGCCTGGAGATTTTATGTGCAGCGCTTTGCAGAGTCTAGCTAGCTCAAAACAAAAGGTGACTGTGCCCCCGCCTGTCACCAATGGCGGACCTCCCCGGTGTTACTACGCTATCTGCGTCACCTACTGGCAGCATCACGAATGCCCTAAAATATAGGTTTGCATTTTGGCTGTCAATCTGTAACAGAATCTGGGAGCGAGTCGGACTTCTTTAAAGTGGTTGTTTTATAAATGAGTATCTATAGGAGTGTGATGTTTAACACAGCATCTCATTTGTGTTAGGGTTACATGAGAAGAGTTGGAGGAATATGTTATTCACATTATATAAAGAATTGTTATTGTGTCTAAGTCCGGAGGCAAAGCCTAGTGTTCGATATCTTTAAACTTCAGTCACTATTGCAAGTTAGACTCCCCAAAAAGGCTTATCTGACTGCAAATTCCAACCACCCTTTCATCCCATTTTTCTTATTTCCAGGGAGATTAGAATGGGGGGAGTCCAGTCCTGCACCCCATTAGAGTGTAGTGAATTGACTCAGTAACGGACAATTTTCAGTACGCTAAAGGAAATCTGTGAGCTAACTCTGCCAATAAGGAGATTTACAAACCTGATGATAATCCGACATATTAGCTTTGCTGCTTAACACGATGGCTAATTTGTCTGCTAAATTACCCCCCAACTTAATCTCAGCTGCTGATTCCATTGATTTGAATCATTTTACAATGAATTTGGAGATTGACAGAACCGAATAGAAGCTAATTTAGAACCACTTTACTTGCAATCTACAAGACTACAAAGGAAAACAATCAAAGGATTAAAGCTACACTCCAGGCTCTGACACCCGTTAGGTGCACTGTGTAGGTTAGGTTACAGTTAGTTATACTGGGTGGGTTTATATTATTAAAGGGACACTCCAGGCTCTGACACACGTTAGATGCACTGTGTAGGTTAGGTTACAGTTAGTTATACTGGGTGGGTTTATATTATTAAAGGGACACTCCAGGCTCCACACACGTTAGGTGCACTGTGTAGGTTAGGTTACAGTTGGTTATACTGGGTGGGTTTATATTATTAAAGGGACACTCCAGGCTCCACACACGTTAGATGCACTGTGTAGGTTAGGTTACAGTTAGTTATACTGGGTGGGTTTATATTATTAAAGGGACACTCCAGGCTCCCACACACGTTAGGTGCACTGTGTAGGTTAGGTTACAGTTAGTTATACTGGGTGGGTTTATATTATTAAAGGGACACTCCAGGCTCCCACACACGTTAGATGCACTGTGTAGGTTAGGTTACAGTTAGTTATACTGGGTGGGTTTATATTATTAAAGGGACACTCCAGGCTCCCACACACGTTAGATGCACTGTGTAGGTTAGGTTACAGTTAGTTATACTGGGTGGGTTTATATTATTAAAGGGACACTCCAGGCTCCCACACACGTTAGATGCACTGTGTAGGTTAGGTTACAGTTAGTTATACTGGGTGGGTTTATATTATTAAAGGGACACTCCAGGCTCCCACACACGTTAGGTGCACTGTGTAGGTTAGGTTACAGTTAGTTATACTGGGTGGGTATATATTATTAAAGGACCACTATAGTGCCCTGAGGGTGCCCCCCTCAGGGTCCCTCCCGCCTGCCCGAAGGGGAAAGGGGTTAAAACTTACCTTTTTCCAGCACTGGGCGGAGAGCTCTCCTCCTCCATCCTCCTCTTCTCCTTCGTCGGGCTGAATGCGCATCGCAGCGGTACAGCTGCGCTACGATTCGTCACATAGGAAAGCATTCATACGCCTCTTGTGGATTGCTGAGTACTCTCACCAGAAAATCACAGTGAGAAGCATTCCAGCGTTTACGGCCGTCAATGAGACAGCCACTAGAGGAAATAGAATCTATCTATAAACATAGCAGTTTTCTGAAACTGCTATGTTTATAAAAAAATGGGTTAACCCTAGCTGGACCAGGCACCCAGACCACTTCATTAAGCTGAAGTGGTCTGGGTGCCTAGAGTGGTCCTTTAAAGGGACACTCCAGGCTCCCACACACGTTAGGTGCACTGTGTATGTTAGGTTACAGTTAGTTATACTGGGTGGGTTTATTTTATTAAAGGGACACTCCAGGCTCCCACACACATTAGGTGCACTGTGTAGGTTAGGTTACAGTAAGTTATACTGGGTGGGTTTATATTATTAAAGGGACACTCCAGGCTCCCACACACGTTAGATGCACTGTGTAGGTTAGGTTACAGTTAGTTATACTGGGTGGGTTTATATTATTAAAGGGACACTCCAGGCTCCCACACATTAGATGCACTGTGTAGGTTAGGTTACAGTTAGTTATACTGGGTGGGTTTATATTATTAAAGGGACACTCCAGGCTCCCACACACGTTAGGTGCACTGTGTAGGTTAGGTTACAGTTAGTTATACTGGGTGGGTTTATATTATTAAAGGGATACTCCAGGCTCCCACACACGTTAGATGCACTGTGTAGGTTAGGTTACAGTTAGTTATACTGGGTGGGTTTATATTATTAAAGGGACACTCCAGGCTCCCACACACGTTAGGTGCACTGTGTAGGTTAGGTTACAGTTAGTTATACTGGGTGGGTTTATATTATTAAAGGGACACTCCAGGCTCCCACACACGTTAGATGCACTGTGTAGGTTAGGTTACAGTTAGTTATACTGGGTGGGTTTATATTATTAAAGGGACACTCCAGGCTCCCACACACGTTAGATGCACTGTGTAGGTTAGGTTACAGTTAGTTATACTGGGTGGGTTTATATTATTAAAGGGACACTCCAGGCTCTCACACACGTTAGATGCACTGTGTAGGTTAGGTTACAGTTAGTTATACTGGGTGGGTTTATATTATTAAAGGGACACTCCAGGCTCCCACACACGTTAGATGCACTGTGTAGGTTAGGTTACAGTTAGTTATACTGGGTGGGTTTATATTATTAAAGGGACACTCCAGGCTCCCTCACACGTTAGGTGCACTGTGTAGGTTAGGTTACAGTTAGTTATACTGGGTGGGTTTATATTATTAAAGGGACACTACAGGCTCTGACACACGTTAGACGCACTGTGTAGGTTAGGATACAGTTGGTTATACTGGGTGGGTTTATATTATTAAAGGGACACTCCGGGCTCCCACACACGTTAGATGCACTGTGTAGGTTAGATTACAGTTGGTTATAGTAGACTATTTTGTTATTTGTTTAAGTCCACCTTTCCTGTAGGAATTTCCTTTCCCCCCCCATAATTACAGCTGTACAGGATGTGATGAATTCCATAACAGAAAATTGACATTTTATTTGACCGGCCCAGAAACGTGTTTTTTAACCTACCTAGCACACCAAATAAATTTCAATCGTTATATTTGTGTCACTGAGCACAGATCTCCCCACTCCTGGCTTTGTGTGTCAATCTATATGACACAATACGTGACAATGCTTAGAACCTGTGATGGTGACATGGAACAACATGCACGTGTTGGTCAGACTGATGGCGTAATCTGGGCTCTAAATAACAATCCGGCTGAGGGATTAGAAAGTTCTTATAAGGGCAGCTTGGGTTATTAAGAGCTGAAATCCCCTTGTTTTTCATGGGATCTCCATACTAATCTCCTGGGCAGGGGGCAGTGCTGTCAAAGATAGCTCCTAATGAGGAGGACTGTGAGGGGTTAAACCAGCAATGGTTAAAATGTGCTCTGTATTAGAATGGAGGGAGTCAGACATGCTGCGCCATGTTCCAAATTAAAATATCACTAAATCACTAGGAATCATTGTCCACAATAACCACCGTGAACAAAGAGCTGGCTTGGAAACTTTTCCACTACAATTATTTTGGCCCAAAAATCACAATAAAGCTTTCTAGAAGTTATCGTTTGGAGAATAAACTCCAAACTTGTAAAAATAGTTGATTTCCAGCTTTTAACCCCAGATCTTTAAATGCAATCTCTGTGCGCTTCGGAAAGCATTGTAGTAACCTTTAAAGGGACAGGACACACAAGGGTTAATAATGGCTCATGGAAGGTTAACTAATCTCCATGCAAATGCCAGCACAGGAGTCGGCTGTGGATGTAAATTATTCAGGCATGGTTGGCCCACGTAGCCACGTTTCTGCCGGTCACCTGATATTACAGCTGAGATCACATAATGAATCTCATTACCTGCACCACTCTAGGTTCTCAATGGCTGCAAAGCATCGTGGGAGATGTAGTTTGTACCATCTGCCTAACAGAATGGAGACTTGCCAAGTGTCCCCAACACAAAGCAATCTGACATTCCTCCAGCAATGTATAGAAATTATACACAAACAAGGTCTATTAAATGTATGATTACCCTCCACACCCCTGCTCTGTTATTGGGGGATCTAGAAATCTCACTAATGTGGTTTTAAGGTTGATTGGTCATAGTATTAGACCCTAGTTACTAGTGGGTCCTGGTTAAGCCATTCTGTCCAGTATCATTTCTGGGATTTGTTGTTCAGCTATTGGCAGACAGCTGAACTGCAACTCCCACAATCCACACAGCCTCTCAATAATGCAGCTGATGACATCACATGCAGTTATGTTATTGAAGTGGGAGAAATGGTGGGCAGTTAATGGCATCACAAGAACACAGACACTCAGATCAGTTATTTAGTCTCTTCAGTTATTTAACCCTTTGTTTCTATCCAGGACCGGACAATGTAACCAAATTTAAGGATGCCACCTGCCCTCTATGTTAGAAGCTGTGCCAGTCTGCGGAGTGCTCTATAATTTCACTCCAAGACACCAGGTGCAGGCTGTGTTTCCTGTATTACGCGGACCCTGTAAGGCGATGCCTCCCTTTCTCTGAACAGAACTGATGACAAGACTGTAAAATGACACCATGCTGCTCCCCGGCATTGGTTACATGGCACAATTTGCCCGTTTGAACTCCTAGCACCTTACGAAGAGTCCTCTGGAAACGCCAGTTTGGGTTACTCCTGCGTCAGCCAGTGCAGTGGGAGATCCAAGACGCTGTGGGTAACAACTGTAAGAAGGAACCAATCCTGGATCTAAGAATAGGTTATCACAACCTCGGTGTAACACGGCCACTCACATAAACCCTCAGCTCTGTTTATCCTACTTCCTTCCTCCTAAATACGCCATACTGGCATTAAATACGGTGCTGGGAATGATAGAGAATAGGTATGAGAATTGTATATCATTGTGACAGATCATTGTGTCTGTCTATTGTGGTGGATTCGTTTATTTCTGCCCTCCTTCGTGTAAATGGCTGTTTCTATAGCCCAGCCATACGAATGACTCTTTTTACCGAACAAATCTACCAAACGGATGGCCACCCAGGATAGAAGTGTGCTGCTGGTTAACCTCTTGATCCCAATTAGAACGTTGTGGTTAACCGCAGACACTTCTCAATTAAACCGAATTCAGGGTGGCCGTCGTTCGTATGTCGACCACGAGGCAGCGGCCATTTTAAAACACACGAAAGACCAGCGGTGTTCGGCCCTGATTTTGTGGAACTAAAAACGGACACTTTTTGTGCCGAACACCGCTGAAACAACGGGTCGCCCCACTCCATCGACGAAAGCATGCGAACACATGCCGTTCGGGAGTTTTACAGCACACGAAAAGCCTTAACCCAGATAGCCTTCCCATGGAGTCAATCGCATACCGAAAGACTGTAAGAACTTTGACTCTATGGCGATTGAACTATGGGTGTGGGATCTGAGCGCTATTCGCTAATAATATGCCCTCAGATCCAGGCCATCTGGGAATGTGTGATACGAATGTGAAATGTTCGGTAGTTGTAGAATTATATATTTTTGTTGTTTTCTGGCATTTTATTTAAGATGGCGATTTGTCTTTGTCCTGGAGATAATTGAATTACTTCTCAATTATCTCCAGGGCAGAGGGGAGGAAACCATATTGCATTGTGGGAAAAGTTTACATCTGTATGTCTGAAATGTCCCCATGTCTATCTGTCATTACAGTCTCCCATTTGGTCCCCTAGGGGAGTGTCCACCAAGTGGGAGACCTGCATAAATACGGGCAGGTAGCCCACAGTAAAGCCAGATCCTGTTTGACCCTCAATGCGGAGCTTCTGTCTCGTTATTAGGGGGGATTTACTATTGATGCCTAGAGACTGATTATTGGAACCGAAAGCCGCTTGGTGGATATCTTCGTTCGGCGGTTCGTGGATTTCTGTTCGGGAGTTTGAAGCCTTTCACGGATCCCGGTGGGGAGATTACCGCTTCCCCTGATGGTGGTTCACATACTGCAGTCTATGCGAACGGAGTTACTGATATTGTGAACGGGGAAGGTTAACTAAACGGCGGTTTCTCTTAAAGACCCCAGGGGTGTCTTAATCATATAATAGCTTAGTTAGAAAAATGTTTCCAATTAAACTATTTGGACTTTAAAATGACAATTTTACATTTAAAGGACCAGTCCAAGCACCATAACCACTAAAGTGTGCTCTGTATTTATGGTGCTAGGAGTGCCCTAGTGCACCTCCCATTGGAGCTATCAAAACCATTTTCTGAACATTCTCACTTAACTGGTATGCGTCAGACGCTGCTCCCTGCACCCTGGTATCTGGACGCTACTGGAAACCCTGCTCCCTGCACCCTGGCAAGCTGAACGCTACTGGTAACGCTGCTCCCTGCAGCCTGGCAAGCTGAACGCTACTGGTAACACTGCTCACTGCAGCCTGGCAAGCTGAACGCTACTGGTAACACTGCTCACTGCAGCCTGGCAAGCTGAACGCTACTGGTAACACCGCTCCCTGCAGCCTGGCAAGCTGAACGCTACTGGTAACACCACTCCCTGCAGCCTGGCAAGCTGAACGCTACTGGTAACGCCGCTCCCTGCAGCCTGGCAAGCTGAATGCTACTGGTAACGCTGCTCCCTGCAGCCTGGCAAGCTGAACGCTACTGGTAACACAGCTCCCTGCAGCCTGGCAAGCTGAACGCTACTGGTGACGCTACTCCCTGCAGCCTGGCAAGCTGAACGCTACTGGTAACGCTGCTCCCTGCAGCCTGGCAAGCTGAACGCTATGGGTACGAGCTTCTGTTAACCAAAGAGCGAGCCCTGCACTGCTAGGCTTAGCTCCAGAAAGCTGAAAGGGCCTTCAAGTGAATAAACCCTAGGACATGTCTGACTTTAACACATTATTGTGCAGCTTCACCTGAAGGTATTACAAACTACTATATTATGCCATGCTTTAAATTATCTTTTATAAAGTTGTCAAACATTTATTTCCTTTAAAAGGGGCACTATAGTCACCAAAACAACTTAATAAAGCAGTTTTTGTGTGTAGATCATGCCCTTTATGAGATAAATCACTTTATTTTTGCTGTACTAGCCACACCTCCTGACTAATGCAGCCTACAAGAAAAAAAAAACCTTTAATTTCCAATCAGATCTTGCAGGGCAATGTGATTTTACTTTAACAGAGAAAATAGGAAATACTTAATTAAACAGACTGTGCAATAAAAGGAAGTACAAAGATTAGATGACTCTTTACAGGAAGTGTTTAGGAAGGCTGTGTAAGTCACATGCAGGGAGGTGTGGCTAGGGCTGCAAAAACAAAGGGATTTAACTCCTAAATGGCAGAAAATTGATCAGTGATTTAAAAAAGTTTTTATTGCTTTAAGTGTCCTTTAATGTGTATTCATTATGATCTTTAATAAAAATGTAAAACTTTAAACTGAGCAGAACCCCCTCAAGGAAACATTTTCCAATAAAACATGAATTTCTATTAAAAACTTTCCAGAGTCTACAGTTTTCTAATAAATTACATTGATATGCAATAAAGAACCATAACCACTATGGCACGCTATGACTGGAGTGAGGGGAGTGTCCTGGTAACCCTTCATTATAAGTAGTTAAACCATTTGACCTCTCACCACGGGTCCGCTCCCTGTATGCACTACTTCCAACAGAGCTGGAATCTCCGAGCTAAACCTGGGGGTAGCAGAGATCAGCTGACTCTCAGAGCTGGTCTCGCATGGCTGGGTTTGGCTCAGGGAGTTACCGGGAGCTCCTGCTCTCCTTTATCAGTAGTGGAGATGGCGGGCAGGGCCCATCCTAAAACTGATTACTTCGATTGGAATGGATACCAGAACACTCCTAGCACCATAACCACTATGGCACATTCTAATGGTTATGGTGCTTGGCATGTTGCTTTCAAGAAGGAACCACTTCATATCAATGACATGGCTACAGTGTTACGTCCACCAGCACCTCCCTAATAAGTTTGGAATAGATTAATACTGAGATGGTGCAGTAGAAGTATTTGCTTGAGGAGCAGTGACTGGCTGAGATAGGCTTGGTCCTCCATAGCAAAAAATGCTTTAAACAGCTTAAACTACACCCGGGGGAACACCAAATGTCAAACAGCTATTACGCCTGTCCTGAAGGGGATCATGGGATTTGTAGTTCAGACTCAAGCAGCAGATCCGTCACACCAGCTGATCAGCTGACTGGCCCAATGAGCTGGTGGCAGACATTCTGTCACGGTTATCAGTTTATTCAGTTTTACAAACATACCATTGATGGGATTCTGGAGACTGAGGTCAGGCCTCCTGAACCCCAAGAGTGCTTTGTGTTCCCATAATACCCGTTTCAGGGTTAATGATGTAAAAGATGCTCACGTTAAGGACTAGCGATCTATTAATTATAAGGCAGTACCAGGGTCTGACCATGGATGCCATGCGGCTTCCAGCACCTATCACAAGGTAACACCAAGTCTTCCAACCCTAAAGCTGGCTCTCATTCCATCCAGACATCGATATTGGTATCAATCACACCTTCTCGGCTCTTCCAGAGGGAGCAATCTATCACCGGAATCATCTGCTCTGTATCTGCCTGCTTGGAGGGTGTTCACTCCCAGTGAGTTATAGGACATCCTACACAATAAGGCAGAGCCCATGAGCCACTCACCTCTTTGTATTGTGAATTGTCGTCCCACCTAACACAATGCGGACTCCCGGTGTTGTTCGATTAAGGTTATAGACTGTAAAAGCCTCCTCGTACGTTGCACCACCGACAATAAACACAATAATGTCTTGAGGTCTGTAGATTAGAAGGCATAAGAACAGATATATGTATATATCAATAAACAACAATCTAATCATAAACACATTAGCAACCCAGAAGCACAATATTTTTAAACATACGATGTAAGAGAAAGAACAAAACAATCGGGTCAGAGTCTTGGTCGACTAAAATTGCTGGAGTTCTTCTGCCTTCTGGAATAATCATTTTATGGGATTTTTAATATTATGTTGACTTACCCAGTACAGTTAACTTGTTATGTGCTTGTAAGGTGTGAGAACTCTGACTGTGCTAATATATTGCTACAAGACTGATACCACGTACAAATGAGAATCACCAATGCCAATACAAAATCAGCTCTTTTCAGCTTCATAATAAAAATGTTAACATACCATAAAAGCACAAAACCTATAACAAAACCATTCTCCCTGTGCTTTTAAAAGAACACTGTTGGCACCACAGCTGCTTCATCTCCAATGGTAGTGTCTAGAGTTCCTAGCGCTGTCTTTTCATTCGGCACCTAACGTTTTTTTAAATTTTAATGCTAAACAAGTCTCCAGTAGCCCATCCCCCCCCTTGGTGCAGCTTGAGTAATGATCAGGTATCAGCCTGAGCAGCAATGGGTGGCTGTGATAGGCTGAATGCAGTCAGTTGACGCTCAGCCAATCACAGCTTCAATTGCTGGTATGAATCAGTACTACAAGAAGTAAGTGTGTAATCTCTGCCTTAGCCACACCTCCAGTGGGGGTGGAGCTATGGGAAGCCAGGGACCCTCATTCAGTGTTAAACTGCTCGAAAATGGTTTAACATTGAATGGAGGGACAGCATTAGGGGACTCCAGGCAGTATAACCACTTCAATGGGAGGGAACGATTGAACATTAAATGGAGGGACAGTGCCAGGGGACTCCAGGCACTATAACCACTTCAATAGGAGGGAGTGGTTTAACACAGAATGAAGGGACAGCCCCAGGGGACTCCAGGCACTATAACCACTTCAATGAGAGGGAATGGTTTAACAATGAATGAAGGGACAGTGCCTGGGGAATCCAGGCACTATAACCACTTCAATGGGATGGAATGGTTTAACACTGAATGAAGGGACAGTGCCTGGGGAATCCAGGCACTATAACGAGATGAAGAGGTTATATAACTACAGTGTCCCGTTAATGTATTTTTCTTTTCTTCAATTTAGTGTACTGGTGTATATTACTTTGGAATGTCTCACTGCACGGATCTTACCGTCTGTTACCCAATAAACACGTTTGTGGACAAATAAATTAAAAAGAAATAAAAGTAGCAGCAAAATATTAGGGGAAAAAAAACCACACATTAACTACAGCTTAAACAAATAAAAAATATATAGTGTAAAAGATGTTTGAGCCCGTTTCCATATCTGTGGGGAGGCAATTATCGCTTTAGGAATATAATTCACAATATAGTGAATAATACCGCTGCCTGCAAGATGTCTAAATGCAGTCTGCGACTAGTGACTCCCTAGTGGTTGCTTGGTAACTGAGAACACTAAAGGCAACCCGAAATCACTCAAAGAGGGCAATATGGGAGAACAGAACTCACCCTCTGTCTAGCAAGATTTACAAGATACACCCAGCTCGGTCATGACCTACCCTGGGCCCGCCTGATTCACCTACCTGTCTCGGAGGGTGCTGGGTCCCAGGTACGGATATAGATTGTCCTTCAGTTTCCCCTTGATGAGCTGATCCAACGTGTCGAGAAGGAAAGGCTGATGCTGAGTGTACACGTTCTCCACACCCTGTAAAACATCACAGTGAGCGCGATGTGGCACCATGCCCATGGGTTAATGTGGACACACTGAGACAGAGGACATCACCTGCTGGGAAGGAGCTCTGCAGTCTCAAAAGAAAAGGTACTACAGTGATTCAAACATTACCAGACACTACACGCTGACATGATTTCTGCTTTTGATGATTGAAGCGTTGATTAAATGGAGCATTGATCTTTGGTGTTTGGGATTGAAGGTTTATCTGAAAACTGTATTGCTTCAATGTCGCAGATTGACTAATTCACCACTGCTACCATTTACCATCCCTGACACTTGCACACACAGAGGTATAACTGGTGCCAGACTCCGGCAGATTATTTAGTATTAGCCTTTATAACCTGTATAATAGTAACATATTGAATTTGAAAGAATGGTTCTTTAAACTTATTTAATTCTCTTTAATATAAATGACAATTCCCTTTAATATAAAATTTACACAATGTGTGTCTTATTTCAGGAGTGAGAGTTACTTTAAAGGATCAATTTAGTGTCAACTCGTTTTCCTGACACTTTAGCATTCTTAGGACCCCCCCATCCCTTAGCGCTGAAGGAGTTAAAACCCCTTAAGCCATTTATCTTAATCCAGGTGACCTCTCCTCCCCCGCCAGTTCCAGAGTGGCGCGGAATGCGCATGCGTGGCAAGAGCCGCGCGCGCATTCAAACAGTCCATGGGAAAGCATTTCTCAATGCTTTCCTATGGACGTTCTGCGCGCTGGAATCGAATTTCGCATCCAGCGTCGCAGAAGTGCCTCTAGCGGCTGTCAGGAAGACAGCCACTAGAGGTTGGATAAACCCTGCTATGTAAACATAGCATCTGAAGGGTTAAAACCTGGGGGACCTGGCACCCACACAACTTAATTGAGCTGAAGTGGTCTGGGTGACTATAGTGTCCCTTTAATAATATACAGGGATATTAATTTTAATTAGTGGGGTAATAGCTTCTTGATCCAGGGATAAATCTGACTGCCATTCTGGGATCAAGGAGGCATCTTTTCCTAGTATGCTGCAAAATTGCAAGTGCTTCAGACTGGGTTTTTGCCTCTCTTGGATCCACTGCGCCTCCATGCAGAGCGTGGGGACGCTGAACGTCAGTACTATATTGACCCAGGAAGCACCTCTAGTGGCCGTCTGAGTGACTGCCACTAGAGGTGTTCCTATGCAGCAATGACCATGTTTACATTAAAAAGCTTGCTGGGACCGGCAATAGACACCAGAACAACTACATTAAGCTGCAGTTCTGGTGACTATAGTGTCCATTTGCCCATATTTGTATGAATTTCATTTGCATCAGCTGATGCGCTCAACCAATGAATTCCATCCACTGGCAGGCAGAAATGATGTCACTATTGCGATGATAGAAACCTCTGTAATAGCAATATATAAAAATGTAGGCTAGACTGCGTGGCACCCACGGTGCAGGTAAGTGTCAAACCGTGCGAAAGCAGTGTGACTACTTACCATGGTATGGCACATAACTGCTGCAGTGGTTATAGTGCCCCTTCAAGAACCCTGTGTGTATAGACTTACACTGCTCCCCCTTCCCCCACATACCTTCAGCCCTTTGAAAAACTGCCTGGTGATGGCAACAGCATCCTTCGGACTGAAAAGATCGCTTCCTCTCACTCTCTTCCCCCCGAATTCCACCACGGCGGACACCAGCTGGTTGGGAGAGAGAAGACACACTCAGATACTAGACCCCAATACGTCATACTGACACAAGAACTAGGATTTTACTAGAGAGCAGCTAGGAGGAAATCCTGGAAAACAGAAACCCATTCTGAAAGTTTGTAATTATCCATTGAACCCGTTAAAGACCAATGCTAATCTTTGAAACATCACTCCCTGAGCAGCTTAGGATCTGGTAATTATTCAGCGTTGGCAGATATGCCAAATTAAAATCAGATTGTATATAGGATCGGACCACCTGCTGTGCTGCTCAGGAACAGGTAAGGGAATCACCATGCGCTGGTCGGATGGGCACAAGGTGGAGCTGTGCAGAGGAAAATACCCAGGAAGGTTATACGCAGATAGTAAATATGCCGGTGATCTGTTTTAAGGAACACAGGCTGAAAAATCACCCAGTTATTCCCTGAATGCATCATACGGATAATGCACAGAGTACTCTAAAACCAAATAAAAAATATACACACTGCAATCAAAATGCCATCACTCCAGGGTGCACTGACTATAGTATATAGCTCTCTGTTACAGTCAAGCAGTCCCTGACGTGTTCCTTATTAAGCGTTACAGTGTAGTGTTTATAAAAATACCATCTTGTGTATGAGAGATTTAAACAGAGAGCTAAGACGATGAATGCTCCCAGTAAGCTTATCATTTAGGGTTGTGGTGGTAGGTACACTTTCTGATCTGTGCCGCGGCACGTACCCTGCGATATTTATCTGACACGCCGCGGTTCCGGAGGTCGGTGAGGAGACTCTGCATGCCGTTGCTGCTGTGTCGGTCGTAGTGCAAGGCGTAGAGCATGACAAGTCTGGTGGCATCCAGCTCAGACAGCCGCTGGTTCTGCAGAAGACGCTTCACGTTCTGCAAATAGAATCATCAAATGAATTAGAACAATCCTACTTGGGCAATGTCCTCCTGATCTGGAACACTGCATTGCCTTGACAGTCTAATCTCAATATCAACTAAATATATATCAAAGGGGAAGACTGAAAAGTGTCACATTACTTCTTTTTCTATTCGGACAGTTTTTGTAAGAATATTGTCGTCTGTTCTCTGCGTATTTTGTCTCACTTTCTATTGCAGAGTAAATTAATGGGTACAAGGGCAGCAGAATGAGAAAGACTGACAGAACGAACAATTCTCAACAGAGATTACTCTGCGATGCTTTAATAGTTCCCACTCTGAGGTTTTTTAGTGCCATCTTTCCCTGAAAAACACAGAGAACAAAAGCTGCGAGTATCCACGTAAGGGTTAAGGGGCTCGCATTTTCCGTAACACTGCTGGTATGCAAAGCACACTTTGTGCTAATGACACAAACACCCCATTAAGAGTGATATGGAGTGAACACACTGTCCTATGACGTCTCTCTGGACATATTACACAGTCAGGGTATTGTCTGAGGAGGATGCGAGCCTGACTCATGCACAGGGTTCAAGGAGACAATGAACACGTCTCATTCTGAATGAATTGGACAAAGCGTTCACAACGCGTCATTATTAGCTCCATCCAAACATCATTACCATAAGCATTTATCTGGAACGCATGGAAAACGTGCTGACCTTCTGTAATGCAACACACCAGACTAAAAGCCCACATAGTTTTACTAAACCCTAAATGGAAATTCAAAGCACCATAATAACTTCAGTGCTATGAAATGGTCATGGTGCACGGAGCCTGTATGTGCTGTTTCAGTGTAAAACGCTGTACAAACAAAAGGTATTTGGGCTACTTGCCAGTGGTGTCATTAGTCAGCAATGATTGAGAGTTCCAGGCTGGCTAATGACAGTTCTCTGCATATTCTGTGCACAGACGTTTATACATTGGCTGAGAGCGTTCCCCTGACGCGCTCACCTGACGCATTCTGCAAATAAATGGATGGCAGAATCAGCAGCTCTACAGAAGCTGGATGCAGTTCAGCCCTTATTACAGGAGACTCCGCTCCCGACGGGACCAGGTAAGAGGGCAAACTATTGCAACTGTTGCCAGGAAACAGTGCCAAGGCCAACTTCATAACATCGGGCTACAGTGATTATGGTGCTTGGAGTAAGCCTTCAAAGCTACATTCACTAAAAGGTTAATGTCTTCCTAAGATTCAGTAACTGTCAATGGCACACAGCCCCCCCGGGGTTAATAAGAGCTACTCCCAAGGTTGGGTTATTTTTAAATCTAATTAACAAAATTCCTCACTGTGTTTACATGACATTTATTAAAACACTCCTTCTAACACTGTGCTCAGAGCATTAACACATTCTTAAAGGGACATCGTCACTGCCCCACAACATTTCATATTATTGTCACTTATCCCTATATATAACAAATAGTGAAAAATAAAATGTTATTTAGCCCGTCTTTGCACCTTGCTACCAGCATGGAGAGCATACGGACAGGAGGAGAGACAGAATCCTGCTCCAATACAATGCTTGATCTCACTTTTAATAGTAAACAGTCCATCACAGGTAAACAGGTTAACACAAGTTATGGGTGATTTTCAATGTTGTGATTCAAAGAGAAGGGACAATTCTCCTTTAACCTCCTACTCCTTGCTCAAAGGGATCATATCAAAACATATCCGTTTTCCTGGCACTGCAGAATCCTGCTGCAGATTTCACTAACACAGTGCAAACAAACATAACCAGATCATGAACATATCTGAAGTTAATTCACTATACGGAGAGGCTGTTATGACCTCTTTATTGAAACAGCCCCCCATCCAGCCCAATTAACATTCACTGCTTCTAAAGTTAGGGTTAAAAGGCAGGAAACTGGGCATGATTTTGCCACAATTAGGATCACAAGCCCACGACTTGCAATCTTGGCCTCAAATGCAGCATTTATATGAGAGCTCTAACCTTAAAGGGACATTCCACTGCATGTGTAGAAAAAAAAACAAAAAAACAATCACTGTTTAGTAGATATACTCAAAATGAAATCATACATACATATAATTATGCATTATTTCACTGGAGTTATATCTAAAAACATTTTGTAAATACTACAGATCTCTTGTCTGCAGCCTTTGTAAGCCCTCCCCTTCTAACCCCGCCCAGACATTCTATGGCTGTCCAATCACAGACTTCCCAATGCAGCTCAATGAAAAGTCTTTGCAAGGCAGGTGCTCTGGGTAATTGCTGCCTCTTGAGTTTAGCTCCACTGAATTAAACAAACCAGGAAGTAACAGGACCAGGTGTCTGACAGCAGGGGGTCTAACCAGGTTAATTTCATGTAAAAGCACTGCAGCGAGGTAAACTGCTTTAAAAACAAACCTGCATTTTTAACACTAGAGGTACTCTACTATTTGGATTCAAAGTGACAGCTACTAGAAGGGTATTTAGGGACAAAGTAAAAACTGCATTTTCTCAACAACAAAAAATACAAAAAAAACAGGAAAATCCCATTTAAAGCATATTGTCTTAAAGAAATAACGTTTATAATAGTAAAACTGCCAATACATTCTGCGTGATGCACAATACATACAATGACATCACACTGCGAGTTGTGAGACTGGGTGATGGAGTAGAGGAATAACGGTGCCAGCTTGAGGGATGGTTATATCTTCCCTGACCTCTCAAGTTGCCACCACTCAGCAGATGTCATATGAGAGGTCGTCCGCAAAGAAAAATATAAAAGAAAACCCAACGTCCCCACAATTGCCAAGTTTGTTTTAAATCCATGCTTGGCCAGGATGGCAGCCTAGTCATGGCACACTGTCTGCTCTAGTAGGACCCATCACCTGTAGTGCAGTGGAATGGTTTTAAATCCATGATTGGCCAGGATGGCAGCCTAGTCATGGCACACTGTCTGCTCTAGTAGGACCCATCACCTGTAGTGCAGTGGACTGGTTTTAAATCCATGATTGGCAAGGAGGACAGCCTAGTCATGGCACACTGTCTGCTCTAGTAGGACCCATCACCTGTAGTGCAGTGGAATGGTTTTAAATCCATGATTGGCAAGGAGGGCAGCCTAGTCATGGCACACTGTCTGCTCTAGTAGGACCCATCACCTGTAGTGCAGTGGAATGGTTTTAAATCCATGCTTGGCAAGGAGGGCAGCCTAGTCATGGCACACTGTCTGCTCTAGTAGGACCCATCACCTGTAGTGCAGTGGAATGGTTTTAAATCAATGCTTGGCCAGGATGGCAGCCTAGTCATGGCACACTGTCTGCTCTAGTAGGACCCATTACCTGTAGTGCAGTGGAATGGTTTTAAATCCATGATTGGCAAGGAGGACAGCCTAGTCATGGCACACTGGCTGCTCTAGAAGGACCCATCACCTGTACTGCAGTGTAATGGTTTTAAATCCATGCTTGGCAAGGAGGACAGCCTAGTCATGGCACACTGTCTGTTCTAGTAGGACCCATCACCTGTAGTGCAGTGGAATGGTTTTAAATCCATGCTTGGCAAGGAGGACAGCCTAGTCATGGCACACTGTCTGCTCTAGTAGGACCCATCACCTGTAGTGCAGTGGAATGGTTTTAAATCCATGCTTGGCCAGGAGGGCAGCCTAGTCATGGCACACTGTCTGCTCTAGAAGGACCCATCACCTGTAGTGCAGTGGAATGGTTTTAAATCCATGCTTGGCAAGGAGGACAGCCTAGTCATGGCACACTGTCTGCTCTAGTAGGACCCATCACCTGTAGTGCAGTGGAATGGTTTTAAATCCATGATTGGCCAGGAGGGCAGCCTAGTCATGGCACACTGTCTGCTCTAGAAGGACCCATCACCTGTAGTGCAGTGGAATGGTTTTAAATCCATGATTGGCAAGGAGGACAGCCTAGTCATGGCACACTGTCTGCTCTAGAAGGACCCATCACCTGTAGTGCAGTGGAATGGTTTTAAATCCATGATTGGCAAGGAGGACAGCCTAGTCATGGCACACTGTCTGCTCTAGTAGGACCCATCACCTGTAGTGCAGTGGAATGGTTTTAAATCCATGATTGCCAAGGAGGGCAGCCTAGTCATGGCACACTGTCTGCTCTAGTAGGACCCATCACCTGTAGTGCAGTGGAATGGTCGTTCTGACACGCCAGCTCCTGTTCCACCTCTGACACCTCCATGAGATGACGCTCACTGACCAGACGAGACAGCTCGCCCACTACCGTCACATGTTTAGACACCGTACCCGACATCTTCTTGAACTGTGGGTAATTTTCCACAAAAGCCTGAATGGAAAAGAAGGAAGAAAATGATTGTTTGTACTCCTGCTTGTCACTATGGTACGTTTAAACAGTGTGTACATCTGAAAGGGACACTATAGGCACACAGACCACTTCATCTGATTGAATGGTCTGGCTGCACTGTCCCTCTCCCCTTATCCCTGCAATGGAACACATTGCGCTTCTACCAGACAGCCACTAGAGGCACTTCCTGCATATACATGGAGTTTACCTCCATTAAACTATGCTGGACGTCACGACGCTGTCCCATGGGGGAAGGAGTAAGGCGTGTGTCTTCAGTGCTGGAATTGTGTAAGAGTTTATAGGGTTTTTAACCCTTTATTTGGGGGAGGGGTGTTCAGAGGGACAATATATTGTTAGGGAAACAGATTTGTATTTCTAACACTATAGAGTTCCTTTAATAGATGGCAGTCCAACCCACTGAGTTATAGAAACACCAGTGTGCAAGGAACTACCAGATGTCCATTCAGGCACGCTGGCCCTAGACTTCCTAAGCTCGCTATTTCATGGGGGGAGGCCACTACTAGGGACTTCCAATTACGGTTCTGCATATCTATCAGGAGATGCTGATTAGTGCAACTCACCAGCCCCCAATGCTTCCCTATGGAGTAGCAATCGACTGGCTGAGATCATCATTAATGATGATCTCAGCCAAAGGAGGAGCAGTGGCCGCAGCAAGACCGGCGTGCCATGGGATATAAGGTAAGCAAATCTCTTTAATAATGGATAAAGGTGGAGGAGGAGGCAATAATCAATATAGCTACTATAACACTCCAATGCTAGGGACATGTGCTTGCATTCATAACAGTAGAGCGTTCCTTTAATAGGGACACAGACTGACATACACCAGGACGTTACTGCCATCTAGTGGAAGTGTTGTAAACCAAAATATACTTAAGGAAGACAAGATGGCTTCAATGCTGAAACATAGCTTTTATGCATTCACTCACTCGAGAAAATGCTATTTAATATCTTAATGAGGCAGGTGGTGCAAAGGAGGGAAGTAAAAATGCACCTCCGTTCCAGCACACCTCTATCGTGTTCAGGGTGATATCATTGTAAAATGATGATCAGGAAGAGAATTCAGGCATTGCTTACACGTCCAGGTTCCTGCTCATATGGCACGGCATAGGGAAATTATTACATTAAAAATACAAAACACACCAATGTTGTGCTTTAAAATCTGGTCATTATTATTCATTTATATTTAAACCTTCTTGCAGTTATCGTTTCCTATGAATCGCAGTATCCAGGAACGCTCTCATCAGAGTTGTTCACTAAATAATACTCATATGACAGGGGACTTGTACATTTTAAAGCACAGCTACTTTCCTCTGTGTTACAAGTTTGGCCTTCACGTTGCGGTTCTCAGATCCCAATGCCAGCATTCCCTGTTTATTGAATAAAGCAGTGGGCTCTGTTGATCAGGTAACATTGCCAAACTCTCAGTGGGATAATTAGCAAATATAACGTTTTATTCCAAAGCTTAAGACAAGTCATTATTTGGACTCACTAAAGTGCTGACGGACAGCTAGCGCTATGGGAGATGCGTGGCTAATCATGGTGGCACTTCTGCGTTGTACACACACCCCTCAGACACCACAACAGATTTAGAAGATGTGTGTTATATTATTGAAATGTATTAACAAACGGAGCATAATTCTACCAACCTTCATGTCTGAAATGGATTCCAACTTCTGCTGTCCTTTGGGTTTCTTCCTTTGGAAATCCTCCATGAGGTTCTTGATGTTGGTCCCAATCTCTCCAAAGTTCAGGTACATGTTCTGTGAAGCCAAACACGGGTAAACTATTAATTCCTTATAATCTGAAAAATGAAGATCATCCAATAAAAAATCCAGAAAGTCAGAGGGGGAGCAAAGTAACGATAACAAGCCACAAGGATGTGTTTTAATACACAGGTTCTCAGCCAGTGGGAAGTGTATCCTATCGGGTACCAGCACCACAAGGAGGGGGAACACCAGCAAGCGACCGGCTCTCTACTATGGCAGAGCAGACGGCTGTTTACCAAGCCCGAATGTGCGGTGTCTGGATGGGAGAATGCCAGTGTGAGGGAGCTGTTATCTCTGTGCTCTTCCAGCACTGCGCCCTGCGGTGCTGTCAGGAGTCAGAGTATGACATCACTCCGGCATCACTAGAGAGCACGAAGATTACAGCCAAAATAGCCACCTCCTCCTTACATACACAATATTCATATTTTGTCATTTATTTAAAGGATCACTTTAGGGTCAGGAACCCTAAATGCTACCATAAATATAGCAATATCTTACTGTATTCAAGCCTGAAGCTGTAGATCTGCATGCTGTTTGCCTAAAATAAAACAAAACCAAGAAGTCTACTGACATCATCAGAAGTGGTAGCCTGATCCAATCACAGTGCTTCCCCATAGGATTGGCTGAGACTGACAAAGAGGCAGATCAGGGGCAGAGCCAGCACAATTCAAACACAGCCCTGGCCAATCAGCATCTCCTCATAGAGATAATTGAATCAATGAATCTCTATGAGGAAAGTTCAGTGTCTGCATGCAGAGGGAGGAGACACTGAATGTTTGGATGCATTTTAGGCAGCCATGATCCAGGAAGGATCTCTAACAGCCATCTGAGGAGTGGCCAGTGAAGTTATCACTAGGCTGTAATGTAAACACTGCATTTTCTCTGAAAAAAAATCTTTACTGCAAAAAATATTAAGGGACTGATTATACTCACCAGAACAAATTCAATAAGCTGTAGTAGTTCTGGTGACTATAGTGTCCCTTTAAAAATATTCCTTACTACTGTGAAGAAACCCCCTGTTTCTTATGTTATTTAACCATTGCATTCCCCTTTTTATCTCCATTTCTGCCTATTGCATTCGGTAGATGGAACTACCGAACAAAGACCACCCCTCTGGCTCATTAAACATCAAAGTTTGGGTGAAATTGCTACCTCTGTATGTGCAGCCAGCGTTTGTCAGTCGAACGCCACGTGGCAGAGAAAACCGCGGCCATCTTTGTTGATGCGAACAAAGGCAGTGGGACCTGGTCGTCGAGTGCATGGAACTGAAAACGGACACTCGACTTCCCGAACACCGGTCCCAAACAGACGAACGATGGAACTCCATTTACCGAATAGCTGGAAGAGCGCTATTCGGTACTTTGGTGTATTCGACAGAGGGGCACGGACGCTGCTAAGAGCCAGAGGGATCCATTCGGTACTTTATTCGTTTTTTATGCTTTTTCGAAAGTGACCGGCAAAACCCACCAAATTCATGGAACTGTTTTGGGCATACAGCCCAGGGTGAGCCGGTCACAAGAGACTTCCATAATTTTTGCGAACCCCTGAACCGATCTGGGTTAAATTCGGATATGTTGGTCAACCAGATCAGGGCTATCAGGGGACATATAATTTATGGGGATACCTCCAGTATAAAGGGGTGTTCTAGATATTGGGGAAAAAGGTGATTTTTCAGCCCGGAGATAATTAAGTTACTATTTTATCAGACTGAATTATCTCCTGGGCTAGGGGAGGGAATTGTAGGTGTGTGTTAAAGTTTTACTGCCTGTGATTGGTTAATGTTTGTGCCTCCCTTAGGGCTGTCCCCTTGCATGGGGACTTGCATAAAAGCTGTGTGTACCCATTAAAGGACAGTTCATTTTGTACCCTTCTTCTTGACTTCGGCTGATGTTTGGGGATTCGTGTGTTTCACTAAGGGAATCATCTTGTGAAGCTGTGGGAATTACTATTGGATTCGTCTACCCTATCTACCGAACAGGGAGCTATAATCACTGAGGCTCTGGCAGTTCGGGAGGAAACTACCGAATAAGGTTTAAATATACTTGGTTTCCCGGCTAACTCGGGAGTCAGGATAGACCCATGCCACAACATAGCTCTGCCCCATACCTCCCAGCTCTCCCCCCTCATACACCCCCACCCATCCCTATCTCTCCCCTCTCCCCCCCCTCCCCCTTCTTTTTCTTTTCCCCCGGGCGAGGCCGGGGACTGCCTGGCGCAACATGGCCACAAAATATTAGAACCCGAGAAGGCACCATGATTTCCCCATGGGACATGGGACCCGCGAGACATCGCTTGATAAAGTCGGGGGGTTCCCACAACAAGGGAAACTCCTACAATAAACAGCAAACATAAGTCAACACAAGACGACTGACACAACCGAACATTGAGACACCACATCACCCCCACCCAAAGGGGGAAAACACTCCAGACACACCACAGATACCAAAAGGGGATAGCGACTGGAGAACGACAACAATTACCGCCCACAAGGAAGCAAGACGACAGAGGCAACTAAACACACCACTGAGCACCCCCCCCCCCTTTTATAACGGCATTGCCTCATAATTGATGAAGGGACGCAGACTCAGAACGAGAGGGTAGATGACCCAGGAGAGAACCCACAACATACCTAGGCACCGCTGAAGTTAGGGAAAGGGCAGACAGAAGAGGGAGTTCCAGACCTGGTGCAAGACTATAGGACCCGGTCCCGCAAAACAAACCCCTCTCTCACTCCCCATGTTAGAGGACGTGACCTACCGCACTATTAACCATTTGATTGGGGATCAACTATAGAACCCATTTGCCCTTAATGTTGTGGGCCAGCAACCCTCCGCTTACAATAACGCTATATAAAGATACACCTAAAACCTGTGGTACTCATGTAAGATGCAATTGGAGACCTGCGAGTCTCGCTGACAATATCGGCACTGCTTTCTGTTACTATCTGAACTGCTAATAAAAACTATATTTACAACAACAAAAAAATATATACTTGGTTTCCTTACAACTACCTCTAATCAAACTTGTTTTCCAATTTGAGATTAACGTAAATATCACTGTCTACTCATTTAGTTTGGAATTGAAATCAATAAAAATGACTTAATTGAGGCAGGGGTACTCAGGAATTGTATTAAATCTGTAGGGGTACTTCTCCATAAAAGACTGAGAAGCCATGTTTTAATAAACCCAGTTATGAGAGATGGAGAAAAAACAAAAAAACAAGAGTTGGATTAATTTCGCAATCTTAACTTGGATCCACCCTGACCCTGTGCCAGGCCTGGTGAAGTTGCCATCAGTCTCTCGACATGTTAAGTCCCTCGCACTCTGTACAGGAGCCTGCAAGGCTCAGAATACAGTGACCATGCAGCACTCCCACTGGGAAAGGGTGAGTGCAATCATTTCTCAGAGTAAAAACCTAAATCTTTTAACTTTGATAAGAGTCAGTCATTCTCCTCCCCTGCAAGTAACCATGAACTGTAACCTGGATCTAAATCTTCCTGACTGCTGGGAATATCAGTCTGTGACTCCTGCTCGATAAATAGAGTTAGTGACTGTACTCAGGAGATTCATATAATGATTTTTCCTTAGTGAAGGTGACAGTGCCAAGCAGTGGGAAGTAGGACAGATAGCCTAGAAAATGGAATAATGAGTTAGCCTCTATTGTTTTCTATCTGGGGTGACTAGACCCCAAACCACCCCAGGACATTAACACACAAACAAGATTTAAGGAAATTGCAATAGTGATATCGCTATAGAAAAAGCATTTTACCATAAGCTTAAGAAAAAACATTTTTAGATTGTACCAGACGTGAAACAGCAATGACAAGCAGGAAGCTGGCAAAAAAATACATGATTGGGCTTTTACTAGAGCTTGAATAACTAGTCTTTACTGGTGCATGTTTCAATGTTTCACTGTTAATGTTTACTGAATACGTGTTGATTAGAACAGGTTGCAGCAAGAGGTGGACACTAAGTGAGTAGAATAAGGCCTAACATATTCTGGAGGATCTACACATAAACCAGTTAAAGAAATGGCCTCCCATCTGGCCAATGTTCCTTTAGATACCATGTGGCCTTTCTGAAACTTCCTTTAAGTAGGTGATGGAGACTTGTGATTTCCTGAGAGAAGCTGTGGATACAAAGTCGGGTTGTAGCGCTCTGAAAGCTGGATTCTAGGGATTTCTAGGGTTTAGTAAGTAAAGTGATTTCCTCAGAAATAGTCCCATGGAAGAACTGTGTCCCAAATTCCTGGTCTCATTCTGAACAGCTTCCATAAACTGCATGTTTAGATGGCAAGCGGCTAAATAAAGGCACTGGTTGCCGACAGCCGAGCTTTCACCAAGGAATATTAGCACAGAGGAAGAACCTTTTTTTTTTTTAGAATACCAGGATGAGAATCTCCTCTAAATTCAAAGACAGGCAGCGGACGCAGAGTTTGGGACAGGATGAGGAGAGCAAGGGAACGTCTAACTTTTTATTATGTTTTTCTAGACTACGTGTCTAGAGCATGGGGTGGAGCAACAACCCAATGTTGGCACTGCCACTTCACATCTGGAAAATTGTTAACATACATATACAAGTAGAACATCATTGTAGCCACAAGTAAAACAGATGGTAACGATTGGGGCAAAGGTGCGCGGGTAATAAGGTGGTAGGGACATAAGCAGCAAATTCTAACACGTTTCTGGGTCTCTAGAGATTATAGTGCTTACATTTGCGTAGAACTCATCATTCTCTGCTGACAGCACCACTTCCTTCAGATCTTTGCTGATCCCTGGCACACGGGCCAGGTCGATACGATTGTTGTTGATGCCCAGTAACTCATGCACCATCGCCTGGTACGTCCACTGTTGGCCAGAAAGCATCCAAGAGAAGACACATTAGTAACAATTCTGAAAGAGGTCTTACATGCTTCTCGTAGCAGGAAATTAGCAGAGGACAAATCATTCTCAGACTTGTCACTTTGTAACAGAACTAAAAACGGGTCTACCATAACTAAAACCATGGGACGCACTAGAAAGAAAAACTCACCAGCTATCATCATACAAAACATTAATTCCAGCCTTTTGTGGCTTCCACAAACTTTAGGAAAATTCTTTACAGAAGGGTAGTGGCCAAATCAAGAATATCCGTCTTTGTTTTGTCCATACACTAAAACGTGACCCATCCTCTTCCCCATCCTATCTCCCAAGAAATCATTCTGTTGAACCAAATTATTAGGAGCCCTGTAGTAATCAGGGAATGGTCTGCAGTGGAGCTAATGAGGTTGTTATACTGAGGGGATACAGGGAGAAGGTAAAAGAATGATGGGCGATACCTTCATTCTGAGTAGAAAGAGAGACATGAAGGCCAGAAAGATAAATTAAAGCAATAGAGGAAAAAAGTTGACAAGAAGGAGGGACAGAAAACTGCAGTGAGGTTAAAAGAGGTAGGGGAAACAGTGCAGAATGATAGATGAGGACGATGGGGAGAGGTTGTTCATGGGAAACAGAGAGAGAGAAAATTTTTCAGGGCAACTAAAATCCCTGCTCAGACCTCGCATCTCGCATTAAAGGAACACTGCAAACACAGAAAGCACTTCAACGTAGAACGCCTCCATGGGTTCCAGCATGCCTACATCCCCCCCTTTTAATGATCTGTACTACAAATCATTGAGAAACACTGGAAAGCTGTGACTGTGTGCGTTCACAGGCTCATAGATCCAGCAAAGGAGATCTCAATGAGATGCCTCTGACTGGAGTATTACCCGGCACAGGAGATCACAATGAGACGCCTCTAACTGGAGTATTACCCGGCACAGGGGATCTCAATAAGACGCCTCTGACTGGAGTATTACCCGGCAAAGGAGATCTCAATGAGATGCCTCTAACTGGCATATTACCCGGCACAGGAGATCTCAATAAGACGGCTCCGACTGGAGTATTACCCGGCACAGGGGATAATGAGACATCTCTGACTGGAGTATTATCCGGCACAGGAGATCTCAATGAGATGCCTCTGACTGGAGTATTACCCGGCACAGGGGATCTCAATGAGACATCTCTAACTGGCATATTACCCGGCACAGGAGATCTCAATAAGACGGCTCCGACTGGAGTATTACCCGGCACAGGGGATAATGAGACATCTCTGACTGGAGTATTATCCGGCACAGGAGATCTCAATGAGACGTCTCTGACTGGAGTATTACCCGGCACAGACTAAGTTAGGGCTGGAAAAGGGCATATAAAAAAAAAAAAGGGCATATTTTCTTTGGGGGTATGTCTGCTAGTTCGTTAAAAGAAAATCAGTGGATTGTTCGTTTAAAATATCTGAAAAATATTACTTACTATGTGTATTCATGATATTTATTTAATGTTTAGCCCTAGAAGTGTTTTTGGAGTTTAAAAGCTTTTCAACCTTAATTCAACTAATAATTACTAACACAAAACTTCATTTAACATTTCCTTTTTTAATACTCAAATAGTAGATACCAGGAATAGCCTTCCAGTGGGAGCAGTAACAGTGATATAGAAAGGGTAGTAGATACCTGGAATAGCCTTACAGTGGGAGCGGTAACAGTGATATAGAAAGGGTAGTAGATACCTGGAATAGCCCTCCAGTGGGAGCAGTAACAGTGATATAGAAAGGGTAGTAGATAACTGGAATAGCCTTCCAGTGAGAGCAGTAACAGTGATATAGAAAGGGTAGTAGATACCTGGAATAGCCTTCCAGTGGGAGCAGTAACAGTGATATAGAAAGGGTAGTAGATACCTGGAATAGCCTTCCAGTGAGAGCAGTAACAGTGATATAGAAAGGGCAGTAGATACCTGGAATAGCCTTCTAGTGGGAGCAGTAACAGTGATATAGAAAGGGTAGTAGATATATGGAATAGCCTTCCAGTGGGAGCAGTAACAGTGATATAGAAAGGGTAGTAGATACCAGGAATAACCTTTCAGTGGGTGCAGTAACAGTGATATAGAAAGGGTAGAAGATACCTGGAATAGCCTTCCAGTGGGAGCAGTAACAGTGATATAGAAAGGGTAGTAGATACCTGGAATAGCCTTCCAGTGGGAGCAGTAACAGTGATATAGAAAGGGTAGTAGATACCTGGAATAGCCTTCCAGTGGGAGCAGTAACTGTGATATAGAAAGGGTAGTAGATACCTGGAATAGCCTTCCAGTGGGAGCAGTAACTGTGATATAGAAAGGGTAGTAGATACCTGGAATAGCCTTCCAGTGGGAGCAGTAACAGTGATATAGAAAGGGTAGTAGATACCTGGAATAGCCTTCCAGTGGGAGCAGTAACAGTGATATAGAAAGGGTAGTAGATACCTGGAATAGCCTTCCAGTGGGAGCAGTAACAGTGATATAGAAAGGGTAGTAGATACCTGGAATAGCCTTCCAGTGGGAGCAGTAACAGTGATATAGAAAAGGGTAGTAGATACCTGGAAAAGCCTTCCAATGAGAGCAGTAAGGGCTTACGATTAATTGACTTAATATAGGGGAAACAGACCTGGTTTAAGAGAGGTGTGATGGCATCATCAGAGCGATCCAGGATCAGTAGTAAAGGCGGGACTTCTGTCCGTCGGAAATCAAACAACTCGTATTCGTTCGTGATGACTCGCTGGAGAGGACAAGATGAACAGGGTGAGTTTTCTGGATGACAATTGTTAACGAGATAACTTGCCCTCAAATGAGCATAAAAACACATTGTCCAACACTGCACTGATCTATATTACTGTTCATAGCCCTAACAACCAGTTTAATTATAGTTAATAAGTTTAACAGGGCTTCATACTGTCCTACGGTTTGTGGCTTACTATCCCCAATTCTATTCTGAACGCTATAAAATCCTCAGCTATGTATGATGTCTCCGGCACGCTCTGTGAAGTGGACACTAGAAGTTACAATATTATTGTTAGACACATTTAGCAAAGCACAAACTCCAGAAAGTAATGTAATGAAAGATTGAATGGCTCCACTCAAGTGAGAGACTGGCGTGTTCCAAGGAGTTAGAAGCCAGCATTAATCCCAACATATTGGAAACATAGAATGTGACGGCAGATAAGAACCATTCAGCCCATCTAGTCTGCCCAATTTTCTAAATACTTTCATTAGTCCCTGGTCTTATCTTATAGTTAGGATAGCCTTATGCCTATCCCACGCATGCTTAAACTCCTTTACTGTGTTAACTCTACCACTTCAGCTGGAAGGCTATTCCATGCATCCACTACCCTCTCAGTAAAGTAATACTTCCTGATATTATTTTTAAACCTTTGTCCCTCTAATTTAAGACTATGTCCTCTTGTTGTGGTAGTTTTTCTTCTTTAAATATAGTCTCCTCCTTTACTGTGTTGATTCCCTTTATATATTTAAATGTTTCTATCATATCCCCCCTGTCTCGTCTTTCCTCCAAGCTATACATGTTAAGATCCTTTAACCTTTCCTGGTAAGTTTTATCCCGCAATCCATGAACCAGTTTAGTAGCCCTTCTCTGAACCCTCTCTAAGGTATCAATATCCTTCTGAAGATACGGTCTCCAGTACTGCGTACAATACTCCAAGTGAGGTCTCACCAGTGTTCTGTACAATGGCATGAGCACTTCCCTCTTTCTACTGCTAATACCTCTCCCTATCCAACCAAGCATTCTGCTAGCATGTCCTGCTGCTCTATTACACACCATATTGCTGTCTGCCTCTCCTTTGAACATAATCTGAATTAAATACACTGCATTAATGGACTAAAGCGATGCCACACACTCTTTACCGAGGTATGTTTGCAGTTTTCAGCTTGGAGGGAAGAAAAAGCAGAAGAGCAACCAACAAAGACGCTTATTGGTCAAGTTTAGGCTGGCAATGCCCAGCTCATGGGGATAGTTTGGCGCCCCCTCCAGGTCCAGTGGACCAGCTGGCATCTCCCCCTGCAAAGACAAATCTAGCACACCTCTTAGCATCTTGGTAAAAGGCCCTGGGCTCCCATGGCTGCTCAGAGAACCAAGGCGAGAATGGAGACAAAAAGTGACACTTATGGTTCCAGAAAAAAATAAAAATAATAAACCATGCTTTACACACAATAGAATATTCAGGAAGGCAATGTCAATTTGAACAATGCGAGTCTAGGATCCATAGTGTGGAGTAATGGGTTTTCTGACCTTCACACCTTCTGCCAGTCTCTTGGCCATGTCTGACGAGAGCTGGTATCGAATCATGGGGCACTTCTTCAGAGAAAGCAGCAGAGCGGTCAGTCCTTGCGTTGTCCTAGTCAGATGGGTGGGATCCCAGTTCCGGCCCTGGGACATAAATATTGTAAATGTAAGTGGTATTAGTGATCCCCTACCTTTACTAAGACTGCGTGTTTTACAGAAAATGTTTCACTGTTCCAAATACATTTTACAGTTCAATTAGACTACAGATCCTACATCCCGATATCTGGGGGGGTGGATTGCTATGCTCCAGATGCCACAGCTCTTGATTGCGTAAGCCATTTTAGTCTTTACATTTACTGATCTCAGGGATATGATGTTCTACCCACACCGCTATATTACAGAATATAACAAGACAAGGAGCAACTAAGAGATTATTCATTCCAGGCCACCACTCTCCTTGTGGGAGGGGCAAAAGATACACAAATCTAATGGCATGGGGCTCTGTAACAGCCCACCGCAACTTATTAAAGGGACACTTTAGTCACCCAGACCATCTCAATGAAGTGACCTGGGTGCAGCGTCCCTGTCATTTTAACCCCACGATGTAAAAAGCTTCAAAGTTTTTAAGAAAGTGCAATGTTTCCTGATGGCCACTAGAGGCTCTTACACAGCACTGACCAAGTAAAACTTGGTCTCGTAACAAGGAAGTCCATAGGACTTTCCTATGGTGAAGTTTTGGTTTGCGCGCGGTACTTGCCGCACATATTCATCAGGTCCCCAATGCGACCCTATTAGGAGCATTTGATTGTACCATGACGGAGGATGCCGAGCCTGCTTGATGAGGTGGAGAGAGAGGCTGAGAGGTGAGCAATGGCAAATCGGGGCAATAGGTTAGTATATGTAATGCTATAGTATTCCTTTAACCAAATGAGCAGAGATGTCGCGAACCGTTCGCGAACTTCCCGCGAACGGCTCGCCACGGTTCGCGACATCTCTACAAATGAGTAATGATGTGAGTAAACATGCCGAGTGCTTTAATAACACAAGGGACAGGTTGCATTCCTAATGCCATAATGTTTATTTAAGGCAGTATGTGGCAGACTCTGGAGTTAGATATTCCATAAAGGTTGCACTGCGAAGGTAAAATAGTCCCGTGGTGGCCCCCCAATAAATGATCCATCTCAGAAGTTCCCGAAGAGAATGGGAAAAATAAATAAATAAATAAATAAATAAATATAAATATATATATATATATATATATATATATACACACACACACATACATACATACATACATACATACATACACACACACTGACAGTGGGTCCGTAGTGGGAGCTACGTCACTCACCTGATAGCACCCCACAATGTTAAGAGAAAATATGTGAGGGTTCACAGCAATGTAATCTCCGTAGAATTCCTGAAATCAATTTAAAAAAAACAAAAACCAAAAAACAGTTAATTTAGTGTATTAGTACAAAACAACAAATTACAGCAACCAAACCGCTGGCAAATCCCTGAACCCACAAAACTGGTGAAAGTAGAACCACAGAGACATAAATACAGTTCAAGTCACAGGATGTTCCATATCTAAATACATGCAGAACCATTGAGGATCTTCGCTGCTATTTACAAACCTGTAGATAACTTTTTAAAATGCCTGAATGAGACAGTGCCCCTTTAACACCCAGCTTGCTTAGTGCAACCACCACAACTTTAGTGGACAGTGCATAAGATGTTACCTGCACTTCTGCCACTACTTCCTGCTCGTCAGCCTCCGCCAGGGACTTGATGTCGCTCTTACTGATGACATTGCTAAAGTCTGAAAGTCAAACCGTGACAGCATTGGTTACAGAATACATTTATTTGAAGAAAGTAACCCTTTAAAGATCATAACCAGGTGAAATAAAACCAATCATGCTATAGAGCAGGAATCTCACACTCGGGATCTCCAGGTATTGATGGTCTACAACTCCCAACATTCTTTGAATGCAATAGATGAGCAGAGAATTATGGGAGTTGGACATCAGAAATATCTGGGAGGGCGGAGTTTGAGATACTTACTAGAAAGAGAGTCTGTTATTCATGCCAGTTTTAACGGAATTATTATTGACTTATAAATAGAAACTGCATTATAATGATCTAAAATCAGCCCAAGCGAGACCATGATCAATTTAGAGGGACAAATCTAAGAAAACTGAATGACACTTTGCTAAACCATTGGACTCGCAATGGACACATACATTTCCTTTACTTAAAGACACAGATACACAAAATATATAAAAACATCATAAAGAATGGTGAAAAGAGTGTAAATAGAAAATGTATTTTTACTTTCTTCAGATAGGTTTTACCTTCAAGCATGTAACATCCCACAGAAAGCCGTGTCACAAATAGAACATTTATACTAAAGAATAGATTGCCGATGGTTACGGATTTACTCAATAAATAACAAAATTGGTGTGAACTTTAATCTGAATTGTAAAATCTAGGCCAAAATAGCAGATCTGAAGAAAAAAAAAAAAAAAAAAAAAATTCTATTCAGGTATAGTCTAGGCAGTGTTTCCCAATTGGGGTTCCGCCGTAATTTCGCCAAACAAATGGCCGCTGCGATTTGATCGCTCAACAGGGGCCTGGTCAGGTGCTGCAGCACTTTACTACCACTGTAGTATCGGCCGGTTGGAAGGAAGGGACACCACTTCCTCCCAGCTTTATAGAGTTTCTGCCGCACAGTAAGGAGGGAGAAGGAGGCTGGAGACGGCAGCCCAGAGAAGGAAGCAGCATTCATGGCTGAGGAGAGGCTGGAGTAAGCATGCAGCAGCTCACTCCAATCAGCCTCAGCCAACATCACCAGGACCACAAGGTTAGTTAACAGGAAGGTGGCTCTGATGTTTGTCAGATTTTGTGTGTGTATGCCAGTGTGTGTGTATATGTGCCAGTGTGTATCAGTGTGTTTTCATGTGCCAATCTGTATATGTGTGTATCTGTGTCTGGGTGTATATGTCAGTGTGTGTATGTGTCTGTTTTAACTTTTTGTGTATGTATGTACGTGGGAGTATATGTGCATACATCCTAGCAATCAAACATCAAAACAACATACAAACACACTCCTGCAAACACAAACATTACATACAAAAACCCCTGGATTCATATATCAAATTTATATACAAACACTCAAACAGACCCTTCATTCAAACACTAATACTACACACCCTGCACGCAAATGCAAACATTACATACAAACACACCCCTGTATCAAAAAGCTAACATTACATACAAACACCAACTGCTCACACAAAAGCACACCTGCTCCTAAGTACTACTATCTGTTTACCATCTGCGCCAAAAATTTGGGGGGAGGGGGGTTCCACGTTGTTAGCGCATTATGTCAAAGGGTTCCATGGGAAAAATTAATTGGGATCTCCTGGTCTAAGTACATCACAATTAAAGGAACACTATAGGGTCAGAAACACAAACATGTATTTCTGATCCTATAGTGTTAAAACCACCATCTAGCCCCTAAATATAGTTTAAAAAATTTACTTGTATTCAAGTCTGCGGCTGCTGGCTCTGCCCATGTCTGTCTCTGACCTGTCTGCTGACATAATCAGAAGTGGTGGTCTGAGCCAGTCACAATGCTTCCCCATAGGATTGGCTGAGACTGTCAAGGATCAGGATTAGAGCCAGCACAAGCCAAACACAGCCCTGGCCAATCAGAATCTTCTCATAGAGCTACAGTGAATCAATGCATCTCTATGGGGAAAGTTCAGTGTCTGCATGCAGAGGGTGGAGATACTGAATGTCAGTCACACTGTGCATCACTGCCCCAGGAAGCATCTCTAGAAGCCATCTGAGGAGTGGCCAGTGGAGGCATCCTTAGGCTGAAAAGACAGTGTTTACAGTAAAAAGCCTGAAGGGGATTGTGGCGGAAACAGCCCCGCCAGTTGTGCCTGGAGAGGACTGCTTGCCAGCCTCTTGCCATGTGATTATGGTCACTGGGAGGTTTGGCCCTTGAAACAACAGATTTCGGCATATTGTATTTTATTATGCTGCTGCTGGCCCTTTAAGAACCATCTGGGGACATACTGTGGAGTTACTGGGTGGCCACCATTTCATGTATCAGAGGCACATGGTGAGAACAATGGATGGAGCACATGGTGAGAACAATGGATGGCGGCCATTTTAACTCACAGACACTGTTTGGACTTTTCTACACGGTGCCATCTCGCCGGTATTTGGTGCATGAAGACATTGTTCAGTAGTTTTAAACTATACAACAGGGGACACATTATACAGTAATTATTTTTCATGTAGCCTGTATTTGTGCTGCGGAATCTGCATTAAACTGTATCTTCCAAACTACAGAACGGATCTGGGTGAATTTTGGATATGTGGTTCACCCAGATCCCCCGGTTTTATGGGGTTATTGCATGTTTTGGGGTCCCTGTGATATGTTTTATAAAACTGTATTTCTCTGCCAGGCAGAGGGGAGGATTTTGTGTGTGAGTGTCTGTGTGTATTGTACGGATTGATTGGTTGTTCTGTAAAACCCTGTGGGCTGTACTATGTTTGTGGATTGAGAATAAAAGAGGCTGTATGTGCCAGTACAGTCAGTTCTGCTTGACCTCAAAACGAAGTGTGGTCTCGTTATTGGGGGAATTGGATTGTATGCGGATTGCCAGGAGTGTAAGCTGATTGTATGCTTTTCCTGTTCAGCTGTTTCCAGTGTTCGTGTGTTTCCTGTTAGGGAGTTAGAGGATTCGTGTAGTTTGCAGTTCGGGAGATTGGTGCTTGCAGTAGCTGCCTGTGCATTGGAAAGGGGAATATCGCCTAAACGGTTTTTAACCTCTTGTGTGCAAAACGGTCCGTTACAGGGATGATTCTACTCAACAGAACAAATGCAGTAAGCTGTAGTTGTTCTGGTGACTATAGTGTCCCCTTTAATTACAAGTTGTTGAATATTATCTTAAAAGCAGAGATACACAGGGAGATCGGAATGCTCGATGAAACAGACACTCACAAATAAAATAGACGCTGTATTTCGGCCTTCGTAGCTCCTTGATCAAGTATTGAACATTTTCCTAAACAAAATTAAAAAAAAAAGACATATCACAGGACAGATAATACACGTATTTACATTATCTAATATATTCTGGAAAGAACAGGCCATCTGATAAACATGGACGTTTTCTGTTAATA